TACGAGGCTCACTTGAGATGAATCATGTTCTTCATTCACGTGAAATTTACGTCGAAGAGGAAGTATGTTACTGTAACCCGCGTTTAACCCAATAATTACGCAAAAAATTTAATGTTACACAATAAATGAACCAAAATAATGACGTTCTCATCCCGTTTCTGAACATCGTCTCTTGGATCTTCCATAATTACGTCCAGGCGCGCCGGAAGCAGTTTGGGATTAGAGGGGGTTGGGTGGGGGGGGGGGGGTGGGTGCAAACATCCCAGAAGAGAAAGGTAGTTGCAACTGGTCCAGTTGATGAACCATTTAATGCCAACTGGTAACCCTGGAAATTGAAATGGGCTAAATGATCCAGTTGATCCAGGCCAGTTATAAAACAACTGGTCTAGCTGAGCCATTAGAACCATTTGGTAAAACTTCCATCCAGTTGAACAGCAACAATAATTCAATACTGGTACGTCTGTAATTCCAATGTAAGGGCATTGGTAATAAGTAGACTTACATAATTGAATTAATCGAAAAAATTTCGTATACTTGTACTTTATTGAAATTATTTTAGTTCACAGTTAATGTTTCCCTTATTCATGTTTAACTTAATGTAATTTATACGAAGTAGCGAAATGTCCTAATAACTGGTAATTTATATTTGTAGTATTTTCGAAATTAATTGCATATAACTAAATCATCAGTAATTAAGAAATATGCTGTAAATTCAGATAAATTGTTTAAAAAACATAGATCTGCACGCACCCCATATTCAATATGCAAATGAATTGGTGTCAGCTGGGTCAACTCGAAATATGCCAACGCTCAGTCATCAACTGGTGTAACTGGAAATATGCACACTCCAGTAATCAACTGGTGCAATGAAAATATGCCAACAGTCAGTTATCAACTGGTGAACATAGAAATATGCCAATAGTCACGGGATTATCACCACGGAGCTTTAATGGTAACTGTGAAACCATCAAGACACCCAAGAATAACTCATTTTCACACATGGAAAACACGGAATACCCAGCTTATATTAATAATCCGTTTGAGTCACGCGATCATCACCGCGGAACTGCTGGCAACTTTGACTACGATTTAAATAGGTGTTTTAAGACACCTAATCATGACTAATTTTTCACACCTAAAAGTCACGTATGCCCAGCTTAGATTAATAATCCGTTTGAGTCACGGGATCATCACCGCGGAACTTATGGCAACTTTGACTTCCATTTAAATAGGTGTTTTAAGACACCTAATAATGACTCATTTTTCACACCTAAAAGTCACGTATGCCCTGCTTAGATTAATATTCCGTTTGAGTCAGGCGCGGATCCAGGGGGGGGGGCCGAGCGGGCCTTGGCCCCCCCCCCCCCCCCGCAAAAAAAAAAAAAAAAAAAAAAAGAGAGAGAAGAAAGGAAAAGAAGGGAAAGAGAAAGAGGAAAGAAAGGGAAAGAAAGAAGAAGAAGAAGAAGAAGAATAAAAGAAAAGGGGGAAGAAGGAGATCGGGGGGACCGAAAGGGCCTTTCCCCCAGGCTGTTGACCCCCCCCCCCCCCTCCAATAAAAAAAAAAGAGAGAAGGAAGGAAAGGGAAAGAAAAAAGGAAAAGAGGAGATACTGGCGTACTAATGGGGGGGGGTGCTTTGGGGAAATGAAATTCAAACGTGGTTTATTTATAATTCCACAACGGTGGATTACAAATAATGCTGAAATGACATAATTTCCGAGATTTGTCCTCACTTTTTAGTAAATTATACGTTTGTATATGTGTTTGTTGGAAAATGACAAATTCCTAAATTTACAGCCAGGCACGAAATATGATTCTTGAGATTCCTACATGACTTGTCAGGGCCCGAGGTACGGCAGGGATCGGGAGCCTCGAGCTCCCTCCCCCCCCCCCCCCCCACTTTATTTGAAAAAGTATATTAAAGAGAAAAAAATAGAATGAGCGCAAGAAAGAACGAATAGTTAACTGCCAGTGTTAAAAAATGAGTCATCGATATGCTCATCTGACCGTGATTAAATGCCTAAAACCCTTAAGCTTCCGGGGCTCTGCCCCCTGGATTCCACCTAGGGCGCTACGGCAGGCCCTTAGATGCTCATCTGACGGTAATTTAATGCCTAAAACCCCGCTTTTGGGGGGATCCGCCCCCTGGACCCCACGCCAAATAGTGACCTGCCAGTGTCACAAAATAATAGGTATTAAAAAAAAATGATCATCTGACCTTAATTAAACGCCTAAAACCCCTGAGCTTCCGGAGCCGGACAAGTTATCAAAATGTGTTTATCTGACCGCAGGCGCGTAGCCAGCCAGGGGGGGGGGGGGGGTCCTCCAAAATCGGAAGAGGACGTAGAAAGTAAAAGGAGCAGACAAAGAAAATCTTTGAAATTCAGACAAGGATTAAGAGTATAGAGAACGGTACAACGTATCGTCTTCTTTCTCTATTAATTTAATGAAACGTCAAAGCTTCGCGCAGGAGGGGAGGGGGGGGACTGAATTCAGACAAGG